GATTGACAAATAATCACATTTTCACAACATTTGCCGATAGGGAGGGTCACTATTTTTTGTACCTCTATCGGAGGGGCAATACTTATCATACAATATTACAGATGTTATTGAAGGACTAGTATTTTTCGTGTGATATGTTTTAGAAAACACCGCCCACACTGTAATAAAATTTAAATCCAATAATTTAAATCACGTTCTCCAGCATATAGCGAATATATTTGGTTTAGTTCCACTGACATTACATTGAGCGAATTATGGCTAAAAAGTACAAGGCACCTAGCACGTACTAATGGTAGTGATTAATTTCATTGGTATATCTGAAAATACAGACTACTAGTATGGGGGTCAATGTCTGAATACCGGACCGTATGTGCGAGTATACCTTGGCAACCAAATTACGACTACTACTAGTATATTATATGTGTACACACAGTCCCTCTATAGAGGGATTGTGATGTATAGTTATATTTATTGCGATCCACTAGAACGCAAGAGTTTAATAGGGGCGCCCGTCATGGGTTTTCCAGGGTGGTCGCGGCCGGTGGTAGGAGTACTGGCCTGTCAGTACAACACGGGTGAGCCGATAGGTCATGAAATAAATGACAGTAGCACATATTCTCTGAATTCTATAACTTTCAATTTTTCACTTCATTTGTTTGACAACTACAGTCATTTCAATGCGGTGACAGTTAAACACGCATACTTAATAATGTAATGATGAGCTGCGGAAGAATACTAGCGACAAGACTTATCGATTTTCTGGTGAAAGAAGCGCGTTACAGAATTCTCGAATCATGCAAATTATAACGTATTAAATACGATAATGTTATGTTTTTGACTTTTTATTATCATTATAATGTACCAAGTCTCCGCTGTTCGGAATATGAAGAATTTGAGCTGGTTATGTGATACCCTCTCTCATAATGGTATCGACCATTATGTGTGAAACGTACATACAGTGAATGAGTCCCGAACTTGTCATAGCGTCCGTCTTCTTTGTGTATTTGTCGATGTGCACCGGACTTCCGACACTGTGGTGAGTTACCTATGATGTTTGTGAAACTGTTTTAGTCTATGACTCTGCTTATATTTCGGTTACTCAAAACATGTAGTACATTGACACATTTTATCTGCTCGTGTAGCCGTCCAGATACAAGTAGTAGTGTCTCGGACCCCTTACGCGGCCATATACAAACACACAACATGCAACATACAACCTAGTCTGAGATACAACACACACGCTCGCTATGTATATACATGGAGCTCGCTTTCTAGCTCCATGGTATATCAGACCACAGTCCCTCCGTGATCAGACAGGGACTGTGATGAGACAGAACGGAACAGCGGTCGTTCATATTGTGGTCACCGATGTCTCCACGATAAACACATATCATATATATACTAGTATAAAACTAATCGGTCTTACCGTGCGGGTCTTACAACGCGAGAATATAAAAGTTGTTTACGAAACTCGAAAATGAATGGACGCACCAGTCGCATTGTATTCAAATTTTCACCGACCCAACTCTCTATTCGTAGTAAGGGGTGACGATTACAAACACGGGGGGGGGGTAGAAAAAATGGAGCTCCATTATTATTTTTCATAGTTAAATTAAATCAGGGCGATGTTGCTGTAATTTTTTTTCTTAACATCTGCCACCCTAGATAGTCGCCCATATTATCTACCTATATCTTCGCCGTGTTACGTACACTTCCGCACCACCATGGAAAGTACTATCTTCCATGGTACGATGTTCACCTCCGAGTCGGACAGCATATGTACTACGCACAGACTCAAGTGTCCCTGTGCCATTTTCCGTTTTCATTCAAAGGTTATTACAACATTCTATACCAATACCACGGTAACCAGCCTACCCGAATACCGCCTGTTACCATGGAGCTCTATGCTGTCATTAAACGTCCTGATCGACCCCGTGTTTGATGGTGATCGTGGGACCATGGAGCTCCATGGTGGGACCGACATATGATTGTCGATCTTCCACGCTCATCGGTGCGTCGCAAACTGTTCGCCGGACACAGAGGCTAAGTCACAGTAGCGCAGCCAGGATAATAACGGGGGTTGGGGTCACCGTGACCTTCATGATTTTGCAACGCTTAAATGTCACCTAAAACATTTTTTTTTAGTAAGTTTTTTTTTTTTACAATTTAAAATGTCCCACAATTTAAATTACTGTAAGGTGCTCAAAATATAGTTATGTCAAGGCATGGAGCAAGGTGGTCAAGGTCACTTCGTAAGTGTCACTCATGACCAATGCATGAACAATACAGGTCGAAGGTCAATTACCCTTTTTAGTCATTTGATTAGATCGTTTATTACGACGTTGGTAATAACCCATTGTTATTTTAAAAATATACGACGTCATGCCAAGTAGCAAATGCAACAGTATGACACCAGTGAAATTAGCATATAATTAAATTTGCAGGGTAAACTGGATAGATCGTAGTCCGATCATATGGGTTTTTGACTCGAATTTACGCTCTGTTAGCATCGGTGTTTGTGCGTCCCTGTCCGTGAGTGATTCCCCATCCGCTACACAACAATATACTAGTAAACGCTATTTTCGACACGCAGTTGTAATAAATCTGTAAAATAGCGAGTGCGCTCTCACTGTTGAAGCCCTACAGTCGTCTCTCCGTCGCGTCGTGCGCGAACCATAGCGACGTACACATGTGTTACCTTGATTACTAACATCTAAATGAAATCTTCTGGTAACCTTTTAAAATACACGAAACTCGATCACGTGATGACTGTAGCGCTTTTATACAATGGTATGTCTGAAAGACTTTTTTACCTCCATGGTCTGACTGAAACTTGAATTCTGTATCTTGACATGTTTTCAAGTTTGAAAAGTTTGTAACAACTTGAAAACTCAGTAATTCCAAAATTGTGGTTATTAGTATTATAAAATAACTACTAATTCATAGCGTGTAAATCGCATGGAACTTGTAGTTATTGTTTTATTTTATTTTCAAATTCAGAAAGAAACGTATTTTTTGTATATGCGAACCTCCGCATACGCGGCATTATTTATGCGTCACGTGATCAGAGTGACACACGAGTGTAATGGCCGCCGAGCTCTCGTTGAGAGACAGAGTTACGAGACTTGTCTTTGCCCCTCACTAATAGTAGCATTGTCCCTTTTCGTCGCGTCGATTGTTCCAAATACCGTGGTTACGGAGATCAGTGATTGTGGGTCAAAAACAAGTCTCGTTGTTCTCTCGTTTCTAACGAGATCTCACTACTAGTATGTGGCGAGATATTTTCTATGCATACAATCGTTTTAATTTTCACATAATAGTACGCGTGTTTGTGATTTTGTCAGATAAAGTCTGGTAGTATTACTATGTTTAATTTCTTCTCTGATTCAGATGAATCTCAGGTGACACGTATTGTTGACAGTTGGTTGAACTTTGACTCCATCACCATAGCAACAACAATGACCTGGACATCGTTACACCAAAAACAAGCCGGGCTCTTGGTAGTGATTGCAATTTTCGTATGCATTATATTACTTCAAGTGCGCTATAATAGTGTTAGTGGTGTGGTGAAAATAAAAGTTAGTAATTACAACGGAAACGTTGACAATTGCTTATCAATTCCAGAAGAACTTCAAGGGAAGCCCTTCGTTATATATGGTGAGAGCGTAGAGAACAAGTACAATCCGTTACGTCAAACAACGCCACCAACGACAAAATTAGGAGAAATTCCACCACGTGATCTCACCGCCGAAGATAAAGAATTCTGGGAAGCCATTAAGAAATTGGACAATCCAAACTTGCGGTTTGCTAAATATCTTCCGCAGTGGCTAAGCAAAGACGACGTGCTGCGGATGGAGCTGATGTCTCATGAAAACGTCTCCCACGTTTTCTCTGTGTTCAGCCACCCACGATTGAAGGAAGTAATTTTCCGCGACACATCGGGGAGAGTCATCGACAGTTTCAAGGACTGTGTCGACGAGTGCGCGATGCAGAAAAGCGCATCTGACATCAACGAAGTTTATGCGTTCCATTTAGATCGAGTTCTAGGATTTAACCGGTCTTTACCAGTAGTCGCTCGTACATTTGGCGGCAATACTAGCGAAAAGGCATACGAGAATTTCGGAAATCGGTTTTCCGATGGAAAGAGTCGACCGTTTGTTTGGTGGGATAAACACATCAGTCACTCGGGCTCGCTTCAACCAGATCAAAATTCGATGTCGTTATGGTGGTTGGATTACCAGACACAGTTGGCTTCCCGATGCAATGCAAAAGACAATGAAGAGGAGTCAAGACGAAAAGAGGAATGCAATTCGAATCATGTTCGCCATATTGAGTGGGGAAGACTGGCTGCTTACGACTTCCTGCTGCAGGTATGTCATGTGATGCCGTTTTTTGCATAACACAGGAATTAGTTGCCGTGTGTGTGTGATGTTACTTGGAATACTTATGATAACTACGTAGTAATAGTAATAATGATAAGTATAATTGTATTTCATCAGTGTACATACATAGATTCAGTTGATAACAATTGATATCAATGAAGAAGACAAAATAATTTGATTGCATCGATTTGTGTTACGTGTTAGATAGAGTTGTCAGTTATTTCTATGCACGAGTCACGTATGTACCTACTTTCTCGAAAAAAAAACAAACATTTTTAAGTTTAAGATTTTGTGCAGGACTGATATGCTTACCAGGTGCTAATTGTCACCGTGTCTGTTCCCCAGAACCACGATCGCATCGACAGGAGCTGTTGTGGTTACGACCGAGACGAAGGCGAGCTTTGCTTCACCAATGGTGTTCACGAGAATGAGTGTGTTGATATCAATCGGCAGCATTTAGTACACATTTTCACCCATACATATGACGACACTCGACTTGTTTACATCGACAACGCCATCAACGTTAACAGAAGTGTTGACCATCTAAATTACAGACTATTGGAAGGAATTGACGAGTAAGTGAAAGTTGTGCGCCCTCTTTGGCCATTATGACATGATGCTTTTTCAACAGCAGATCGTGGGATTACATTTCGCGATCCATTCATGATTAACTAAAGACACTACAACTACACGGATAGTACTTTTTTTTTACTGTGCAACGATTTATTTTGATTTATTATTTGTTTCAGAATCCCAGTGGAACCAATCTCTATATTGAAATCTGGGAATTTCCGATGTAAGATGTTACATTCTCTCTATCTCGACAAAACGTACTGGGATCTCCCGGGAGGCAAATCGACAATGAACAAACTCATTGACATCACCGAAAAAAGAGCACACAAACTGATTACGTACATTGAAGAGCACAACATAACCCTCGTTCCAGATTATTAATATTGAACAAACAAGCATTTTCATTGTTCTTACTTACTATGTCAAAACACTTTCAGTTGTCATGGAGCTATCGCGTTAATATTCTATGTTTCGTATTATCATAGTATTTTCGTTGTTAAACTATACGAGCTACCTCCATTACTTCCATTAATCGTGGTTTGCTTTTTCTTTATTTCCCTTTGCTGAATGAAAAATCGCTTCCCTCGGTCATAGTGGCGAATAGACTGACTGTGAAATAATTTATTTTCACTGGAATTAATTTTCGCTGAAAAGACTTTTTGGGTATTTTGTATGGAATTTATTTTCACTGATTTTTGGTGAGTTGAATGTAAAATCAGGGGAAAAAGGTAAATTCGCTTGATTTTATTTTTACTGAAAATAAAGTATTTTACAGTATACGCACGATTTTTTGCCCGAATACGTTAATTAACACACCATTTTCGTTCGTACTTATGCGATAATCACTAAATTCGTCATCCAAATATCGTTGTAGCATATCAATACATGGATGAGAAATTATGTTTGATGTAAAACACCGCGTATTCGAAGATTATAGTTTGGTTCTGTTTAACTGTTGTCGAACGAGGCTACACGTTATTGACTAGTCGGACACTATACTAGTAATATCACGGGCAAAGGAAACCCGCAAATGAATATTAAAACCAATATAATCGTTGTGGGTCGCGCCTGGGCACACCAGGAACGGAGATTTAAAAGCTGGATTACCGTACATTTACACAAAACAATTTGAATTAATGCCAACACATTAAATTAAAAAATAATAATATCAATAAATTGATATGCAGAAAATCAGTGGAGTACAGAGTTTAAAAGCAAACATACAATCGCAGACTGCGTTATAGTGTCAATTGTTTAGAAGATATAACTGTTGTGTATAACGACAGTATCTAGCCAGTATGTCAATCTGTGTAAGCATTTTAATATTTTTGCTGTAACCCCCGAAGTCACTGATTTTATTTGTGTGCATAAACGCTTAAATAATGTTTACAAATGTTCATATATAATTTCCGAATTTCTATTTTATGTACCATCTCATCATCTCTGTTTTTCAGTATTTTTGTATTTTAAAATTTCAAATAAATATTAAAAAGCGTTCGTTTATACCGTGGGCATATAGCCTATTTTATCCACATTATTACTGGTTTCACTGTTCTTAAAGGGCGGTGGTCGCGTGTTCGAATATCAAGTAAATAAACAATGTATTTTACAAAAGTTGTATACGTCGCTATGAATCCCATATCGAACAGGACGCGGCGCGACGACCACCGCCCTTTAATATTTTTAGCAAAACTACCTGGTCATAAGTCAATCATTGTTGGTATTGTAATGTCATCGTGATTTTTTACTTTTGTTCATGGCCTTCTGGTTTCTGTAATTAAAGCGCGGTAGTCGTCGCGCTGCACATGTGCGAGATATATGGGTCTCATATAAACAAAGATGGCGACTTTGACTGTTGCGCAGATCAACGAGTACGAAGTGACACGTTTCGAAGCTTTAATTAGGTAATTTTCATGTGATTGGAAGGTGTCGAAGGAATCACCGGCGGTAATCAGTGCAAGTCACGACCAGGTCAAACCTTATACTAGGCTTGTGATTTCCATTTGAAGAGCGCATTGGATTGTGGGAAAATCAATGTTTATCAACACAAATGTCGAACATGCGCAGCGCGACGACTACCGCGCTTTAAGCTTCTTGCCCGTGGAAACCTAAATGAAATAAATATTTGTTGGGCATTTCGCTGACGCAAATAAACTATACCAGATGTGTACATATCTCGTGTGTTTGAAATTGAGCAAGTTGTAAGTTGTCAAGAATTACCCAGATACCTACGTAAAAATGGTATTACACGTAATACATGTACCATTCAAATGGGTTACTTCTCCCTGAATATTTCCGAGTAGACCAGCCCAGCCGTGGCAATTTTATAGCTTTCTTTTCCCCTTAAATCAAGACCAGGGGCGAAATTACCACGTCAACTTAAGAGATTCTACAAAACTGTTCTTTAAAGGATGTTGGGCAAAACAGAAAAAGCTTGATAAAAAAAATAATAATGATAAATAACTAACAATTTTTACATGTTATTGTAGCCCTCGCAAAACTCTATCCAAAAATTATGATAACACTAACGTCAATGTTAATTACGCCACGTGACTGCTAAATAAACAAAATCGATTGGTCTGCTATTTTTACTGCTACTAGAAAACAAAAACAGTTAGCCAACACATTTTTATGAGAGAAGGAAGACTACAATGTTCTCAACAATAATGTAAAATACATACTAGTAGCTTCAGAATTGTTTAGTTCTTTTACAAAGTGGTGGAGAAGAATTCTGTTATAAATTAGAGTACTCTGTTTTCACAGTTCAATTAGTCATGAAATATACTGATACTTAAAAACGATTTTACATTTTGTTTTTAATTCATCTTGAGTCAAATCTTTGAAAAAAAATAATGAAATTGGACAACAACTGTTCGCGTAATCGTGATTTGCGTCGTGTTAAACACATTACTTTTCAAATAGCTGAAAGGGCACATAAAACCAAAAGTAGCACATTCGAGAGAATATTTTCTGTTCAGCGCATCGTATTCTGCTATTTTTTGATGTTTAAGATAGCTATTGTGTTTGTTTTATAGCCGAAGTGCACATTCTTGAGATTGTTGCTTGTAAATTATTTTTTTATTTGTAAAAAAGCCGTTTTTTCTTGAAAGGTCGTATAGGTATAAGTCACCGTAGGCGTTGGAGGTTGTAATCATGAATGTCCCCACCTAACAGGGTAGACAAAGTTCAGTGGGGGGGGGGTACGAGCGGCTAACATACGCTACTCTTTGCTTATCTTGTACAAATTTTGCTTTTTAGACACATACATTTGTTTACATCGTTTAGGCGCTTGTGATCTGAGACGAACGCAATCACGCTGTGTGGCGCGGATCGCGTGGACGGGTTTCATGTTCTCTGCACGTAATAAGCTCGGTTATTAAGCATCCTTTTTTGGGGATGCCCGGTGGCCGAGGGGAAGACGTGTAGTGGCGTGAAGCTAGGCGATTAGGTGCCGTACGCGAGCGCCGGTTCGAGTCACGCACGCAGTACGTGTTTACTATAATTAGACATAGTCTTTACCTTGCCGTTTATTCGGTGTTATTTGCTTTCTTTACTTCCTATGTCGAGGTTACTACTCAATTTCAATATCTCGCATGAGTGCTCCTAATCATTTTTGGTTAATTTTAATTTAAACTCTAGCTAGCAATATACTCGACTCGTTGTACGTGAAGGACCGGGTATTGCCGACTTCCTGTTTGTTGTATGGCAGAGTCGGGAGCGAAGTACATAAGCGCGTCAGAGAGGGCGTCCTATGGGATTCCAGAAAAAAGAACGTATTTACGAACACGTCGCGCCTTTGTTTCTATGTACGCGTTCTCATGTGAACATTCCATCTATATTTTGGAAACAAGTTGTTCCACGCTCGCAGATCTTCGTCTTTAGAAAAACTGCAAAAATGGCGCTGATTGCAACGAAGGACACAGCGAACAAAATTCAACGCAAAGAAAGGAATGGACGGGCCATTTTTAAGACAGCTTCTCCGTACCCCCGGCCGCTTCCGCCCTTACCACCGATCAAAACTAATAAAGTAGCGCCGCCGCTGCCGACGAAGACCGAAGACGCGGTAGTGACAACACAACCATGTGTAAATTGCAGAGGTGATGAGCACACGGAATGTACTAAGAACTTTACTTCGCCTGGCTTGCAACGTCTGGTTAACTCCGATAGTTTGGTCGTGCAACAAATACGAACGACGGCACATAGAACATCAAAGGACCCGCCAAATCGATTTGTAATCGTCAGCGACGACGGTCGGCTGTTCGTGGCGTCCGATGACAAACGTTTAGGCTCTCAACGGGACATTGTAGTCGTGGACGCCTCTAACAGAGCAATTGTTCTCAGGATAAAACGTCAACGTATGAAACAGTTTTGTGGTATCTCTTTATTTGGATGGAACTTGTTTGGATGCTGCCCTCTAACGGTGGGAGTTGAGAGTCCATTGGACAACATGGGTGGACACATCGACCAGACTGATTGCTGCGGCATAGACTGGGAAATATCAGATGTACGAGATGTCGTCGCGTTTCGGTTAACAACAAATTACTGCAATTGTTCTCAACCGTTGTCGTTCGATGTTTTTCGTAAATCTAACCGCCGACACGTTGGTAACATCACTATGACCTGGTCAAGTGACAGCGAGGTGGTGATCCTGCCCGAAAATTTATCGTCGAAGTGGGAACTACTTTTTCAACCCGGAGCAGAACTTGAAGATAAAATGTTGCTGTTAAGTGCAGTGTTCCTATTGGATTTTGTTCACGGAGAACCAAATCGCCATAAATAACAATTATATTTATTCTCGAATCCATTTATTGTTATTGCATTATTGTAATAACTTGTTCACTTTGAAACCTCTGTTAATTTATTTAACAGGGTTATTATTATTATTATTATTCTACTTTTTCCGAGAATTAAGAAAAAATCGACAAAACTTAGCGATGGAAATCTATATAGTGTAGTGATCGTTAAAGCAAGTTTAGGTGTCTGAGTGCATTATATCGCGTCTCTTTTCTGGTAACGTATATTAGTCACTGTATGTTTTCATGAGTATGTGTAATTTAATTGATATTTGGAGATAATTTTCATTCCGTCAACTTCATATTGATTCAAGGCCGCTGAATATTCGCCTGGAAGTCAGTCACAATAATCAGTGAAATGTGACATTTTATCAGATTACTTCATCATATCCGCTATTTTTGTTTATCCTCGTTCGTAGCTAGTCGTCTTATAATCACTAAAATAGTCCCTAAATATCTACGTAACGTACCACTACTCAGGTAAATAGGCAGGTGAATGTTTGATTGTATTCAAAATATTGTGAAAAAAATGTGTGTATACACGACGGGGCCGGCGGTCGTCTGCGTCATGAGTAGCTTCGAACGAGCCTACAAGTCGCCGAAGTTCAAACTCACAAGAGCTTTTAAATTATTAGAAACAATATGCACTGAAAAAAATCCTGATGTTATCGTACTGATAATTTTCTGGAAACTAATATTTGAACTCATGTTGCGCCCTCTTTTTCTCCGAAATGAGCATTACTGTTTTATAGTAACAAAACTGTGTTTATGTCTTTACATATAAATTCTTGTACCTACTCGGAGGGGAATACTTAGCAAACGATTATCGTTTCTTTGCTTAATGTAAAGGCTGTTACTTTGCTACGTTTCCACCAATCAAATCATCAAAACACGGCGACTCTGGCATCATCTTAAAATTATTATCGAAGAGCGGCAACATTTGTAATGTTATCTTTGACTGAAATGTCAATGCCCGTTAACAATACTAGT